TGTCCCTGTCACTGCAGGGGGGTGGGCTGGATGGGCTTTAAAGGTCCCTTCCAACCCAAAGCATTCTGTGATTCTATGATCTATTTAGTAACCCTCAACAGGGTTCTCTGTTAAGTATTTCTCCTCTCTTGAGCTAGAACTGTTTTTCATCCACTTCATCCTTTACCTAGCAGTTGCGCCATCCCTTAGCCAGGGCATGCAAAACCACCTCTGTTTGTTCACTGGGAACGTGGCTCCAGCTAGTTAGATTTGATTAACCAGGTCCCTGCATGGGAAGAGGCACAAAACAGTTGGTACCTACCCCTTACGCAGGCTGAAGTATCAGAGCCTAGCTAGTTCCTTGCAGCAGCCGTATTCCAAGTCTTTGATCATGGTTGTTATCCTCTTTGAACCTTTTCCAGTTCTTCAGTATCCTTTTAGAGAGAACGGGCTATAACCTGCATGCGGTGTTTAAGACAGAAGTGAGTCATCTTTATATCATACTGGGCTAGCTCACAGTACTGCTTAGCTTTTTAAAGTGTATTAACAGCTTAGGTTTACCCTCTGTAAAGAGATGAAGCCTCAACTAGTTTCACACATGTTCATCAAATGGTGCTTGTGTGCCAAGGCTAGTCTGCTCCCAAAATAAAGTGATTACCTGCAGTCAAGAAGCTGGACCCTGCATCATCAGTTATTTTGTGCAGCGCAGCAAATCAGTGCCAGAGTTTGAGGATCTTCCCTAGCCAACAGCAGCAGGGAGGGGAAGGGCCAAAACACACACATGCTACCCCAGTAAGCTGAAATGAGCAAATCCTACTAAAACGTTATTCAGATGTTAACATCCTCTGCACCTGTGCAAGTGTTAGGAGCACAGGATGTAATCAGCAGTATCAAATTAAACAGTTTCTGTCTTTCAAGGTCCCCACCCCGAGTATCAGAAACTGTAGGAGTCCCTCATATACATAATATACACTACAAGTCTAACTTTAGAGCAAGGCCAGATTTGGTTAGTTTGCATCTAAAATTTAATGATAGAGGGAAAGACTACTCATTAACTTTCTGTTTAAAGAAGCGGTTTGTCTTTCCTTGGTCTCTTCCTAAAACAGATTTTTTTTTTTTTTTACCAAGAGGTTTCTTGTGGCTTGACCATAAGTTTTCAATGCGAGTTTGCTAGTTTTATGTATTTAAAGCAATTAGCAGTTGTTTTGCAAGGGCCAGCTGTTAGCAATTCTAACACTTGTTTCTGCTTCTTGGGGGCAGCTGGAAAGACACAAAACAGAACAGCAAGAAAAAGCAAGATTACTAGTATAACCATCATTAGCCTAGAATTACATTTTCCAGCCACTCCTTTGGCTTGAAAAATCTTTTACCAACTGCTAATACCATTATGAATATTTTACAAACCCAGATTTTAAAAAAAGAAAAAATCTTAGCAACACAGGACCAAAGGTTTGCTTATTTTGCAGTCTTGTCCATGTAAGACATCACAAGTATTTGTTCTCACTGCTTGTGTCCTCCCTGCTGGCTCCTTTTGCTCTTCTTGCATCAGGAGAGTCTCAGGGATTCACTTCCTCTGGTGGCCTGCCAAAGCTCAAATTAGTATGCTACAGGAAGCTGTCAGAGATGCATTTGTATCGCCAGGCCTTCGCTTCACTCACAGGATTGCGTCTCGCATGGAGTACGGCGTCTGCAGGGGACAAGTAACAGTTTATAGATACAATTCCCACAACTCAGAGCCCAGCTCAAAAATCCTTACAAAGAAGCAACTCAGTGCTGAAGTGACAACTGATATTTGTGCTCCTTAAATTAAATAATTACATGAATAAATGACAAGAAGGCCTCTGTTATTTTCAAAATCATCTCCCCCACTTATGTGCTGCAGAAATATTGAACTGGGCAACATGCAATCACAAGCAGGTGCGTGGACCCTTGGAGAAGGCACAAGCAGTCTCTCATGGACTGCACGGCTTCCCACCGATCAGATCAGTCGCAGAAGTGACTCTAATCTTATTTTCTCTGCATATCTTTGCACAGCAGAGAGGCCAGGTATACATGAGTGAGCTAATCTGTGATTTTTTCAGCTGTGTACAGCAACCAGAGGCTACAGCACTGCACTGCCTTCAAAGGAGTCTTTACGCTGCAGCACAGTGCTCTGGCTTTTAGTCCTTCACGTAGATGGGGGTTGCACCTAACCAAACGACCTATTGCTTTGGGCTGAAGAAGGTTGAGAGGCTGGCTGTCCCAAGATTTGAGGTCCAAAGTATCTCCCCCAATGGCTTCCCTCCCCCAGCTCTTCTTGCAAGATCCATTTCTGGGGGCAGTTAGGGTCAATAAATCTGTTAGTTTGTTTTAACAGCAGGGTGGATACTTCCCTTAGAGATTATATTTCAATCCTTTATCTTATTAAGGGAAGATGTGTTTTGTCCATTAATCCAATTAGCCTGGTGGATTAATAAGATTGGGCTTGCTCTGTTTTAGGAAGCGCACAAATAGCAGTCAAGCATAACTGAACCTAAATTTGTAAGTAACGCTGGTAACAAGAGTGCTATTTCCTTGCATACTCTATTTATTATTTTTACAAGCTACGCTCTCAAATTACGTGATGTGAATTCTCGATTAGACTGTCTCAATTCATGACCAAAAAGCAAAAGCCTGCCCTGAAAATATTTACTTTCATATGTTTATAAAATTCTCTTTGTGCTAAGTATAGGCAGGTAGGTTCCAGCCCAGAATAATGTTTTCAGTACTTGGGAGGAATCTGTTTGTTCAGTTATAAAGGCATGAAAAATATTTGTCGTTATTCTGACATCTGTCTTGGCAAAGCGCGCTTTCTAATCAGAGCTATTCATTTGCAAATTCAGCTGCGGGTTTGGGTGCTTGAACGCCAAACAGCTCCGTCCTTTAGATATATACAGCTCTTGGCATATTTTCCTGCTTGAGGACATACGGTCCTTAACTGTAAACAACGCTCTTATGTTACTGATACAAAAAACAGAGAAGCTTGGGGGGGTCGGGGGGAAGAAAAAAAGAAAAAAAGAGAAAGAAACTAACAGGAACAAACTCCTCTGCTAAGAACAGCTCAAATTACTGCAGTAGCATTGTTCTCATAATAACTTCTGCTTGGCAAAATACAGCATGCGGATTGCTGGTAGAATGAAGCAGGTGTTGGGGGGG